TTAATACTACAGAGTTACTATACCCTTTTTACCCTTTTATCCTAGATGCTAAAGATTTTAAAAAATAATTATAAGTATATTTTATAGACAGTGGACAGTTATTTTTGTACTATTCTCACTATGAATTAATTCAGTAACTACTGATCGACCAGGAGTGGAAATTAAACATATGTATGAATAGAATATACTTATCTATATAAAACGAACTAAAAAACTAACGGTTTCCATTTTTTTCATTGAAAACACCAAACTTGTCAATACCTACTAAAAAAACAGTTGACAAGCATGAACGGTTTTGTCTTTGCCTAATTATATATATATATATATATATATATATATATATATATATATATACACACATATATATATATATACATATATATATATAGGTTTACTTATCAATCATCATGATCATAGATACTATGTTCTCTGAGAGCTTAGAAGAAGCTAATAATTTACGCAATTATTTATTCAAGATAAGAATATTTCGTACAATTCAGACTTTCTTAAAGGAGAATATTTATAAAACGTCGTTAGGCTTATTTGAGGTTATTTTAATAAAAACTTTAAACAATTTATAGACGAAGTGAAAATGTTAAAAATATTAATGAAATATTCATTACTTTGTAAGTAATGAATTATTGTATCAATATTTATGTGTAAATGTTAGCAAATAAAAATAGCTTACGGATTTTATTATATAAAGGAAAAATATTCTATAAGTTAATATTATGCTATTTTTATTTCAAGGGGAAGAGAACTAATGCATAAAAAGAGAAAAGAATATAGTATTTATTTTATTATTTATATAAATTTTCCCTTATTCTTTAAAGAAAGTAAACACGCTGTAAGACAAAATCGAAAATAGTAGTAAAAACAATAAATCACGTTAGTATTTTTGACGTTAACATTTTTTTGGTGGGGTCCATCCATATAAAATTTAGTCTAAGGTTTATACAGACTAGGTTGCAGTAGGTACGATTGTCGGGTTAAGCCATTTATACTTTACTAGCATTGCCCGCGGCTCCGCCCACGTTCAGATGGCCGAAAACCAAATTCTTAGGTTTTACATATTAATGTAATCTTACATTGCAGTTTTTGTATTTTTTCTCAGGCATGAGATATTTTCAAGCAGTAAAAAGTATTCTATATGTTGACCCGGATAACCAGCTATCACCATACCCAAAATTTCATCAAAATCCCTCCAGTGGTTTTTGTGTCATGCGGTAACAGACAGACAGACAAAAATTCTAAAAACTATAGATTCGGCCTCTGTATCGATAATAATGTTTATTTCAATAAGATTTCCAAAAAATATTTAATGTACAGATTCGGCTTAGTTACAATTTTATTATGTGTATAGATTAAATACAGTATAATATGTGATTTTTTGAAATCAGTTTGAGAAACATAACATAATAAGTGGCAACTAATTAGCAACAAATTCACGTATATATAATTATTTTGTTTTGATATGTGACAATTTCTCTCCCGCAGCTCGTTATTGAGCTCAAGTTTTAACTCCATGTATTTAATTGCTATCAGTAGCCTTTAGTTTTATCTTAGTTATATCATAGTATTAGCTCTATTATAGTCGCTCTATATATCAAAAGGGCATCCTACAATACCTATATTTAGTGGTGGCCACTTTTGAACTCGCCTTTTTATGTGATTGGCACTAGTACAAATCCGATTGGCTCACTGGCACTTTAGCATATTTTTTTTTAAAGTTCTACATCGAACTTAACTTCTCTATCAGATCACAAATCTTCAATGAAATGGATCGGGCTAAAAACGACCTATATTCTCAATTAACAAAAATTAAAAATTGAATTAAAAAAGAGAGTAGAGCCTTTGTAAATCTTCAAAAGGCTCTCATAATATGACATAAGATTCTATAACAGAGGATATAAAAGTCGTTCATCTTTGTAATATTTTCGAATTTTTTACTTGAAGAATTATTTATTTTAATAAAGTTTTTCAAAAAAGTATTTTTTTTTAAGTGGAATGTACATTAATATTTAAAATATTATTATGACTATATAGTTTGTTATAATAATACAAGATTCACTCCTTGTGAAATTTAGATGGTACTTAATTCTCTTGAATGGAGCACTTCGACGACTGAATCAACAGTTACAACAGCTGTATTGAGATATGCATAGAAAGCGTTTATTTATATTTTAAATAATTTGAATATGCTTATTCATTGATTATTATAGCTTGTCATATAGTGATGTCAAAATTATTCTTACTATTACTACTAGCTCCGCTCGGATTCGTCCGTACTCACGTTATAATGTTTAGTATACATTTCTCAGAGATGAGATATTTTCCCTCAGTTAAAAAGTATCCTATATATTGACCCGGACAACCAGCTTTCATCATACCAAATTACATCAAAATCCCTCCAGTGGTTTTCCGTGATGCGGTCACAGACAAGCAGACGGACAGACGCAAATTCTAAAACCTTCGGCCTCTGTTTCGATAATAATGTCCATTTCAATAAGATTTTTCAAAAACTTTTAATTTACAAATTCGGCTTAGTTACAATTTTATTATATGTATAGATTGAAACGTGTATACTCTTTTTGATCATTTTTTGGGGTAACTTACAGTTCTTTAGCGTATAATGAGAGGGAAGTTGCGTTAAAATTTAATTCGATAAAATATGTCGTATTAGTAAATGTTTGGCTATTTATCATAATTTATACTGCATTACAAATGTTGTTCATACATTTATATACTGTAAAAATAGCATTTTGTACAAGATAAGATTAATCTATATCTATATTTAAATATATACAATTAAAATCATTTATTTACACAGTACCAAAGTCCAAACAAACATGACTTCTAATCTATTGTAAACGCGAAAGCATTTGTGTATGCATGTTACTCTTGATATCAAACTGCTGGATGGATTTTGATGAAATTTAGTATAGAGCTACACTTGGTACCTGGAATTTTACTATTAGTTTACTATTAGGAACCTAAGGACATAGCCGAGCGAATCAAGGATAAATCGCATGTATTATAATATGTAGACCTCATTTACATTTATTTTTTTGTTTTTATACTAGCTATTGTTTTTTTTTTATATTTTTAATCTTAAATAACATAAATCAATCATGGTATTGGGGGTTCTGGGTCTGAAATGAAAAAATGACCGAACGAGAACGCTTTAGCCTTTACAACCTACGCCATCCAGTCGAGCCTGTCACATAATTGAAAATGAAAACTTACAAATAAATAATATTTAAACCAGATGCTCTAAAAAAATTATAAAAAACTTATTAAATTAAATACTTATTAGTCGTATAGTAACTGGATTAATAGACACTTTTTTACATATATCCCATGGCTTATTTGGCTAACAGTTTAATGTCATATAATTCAATATCCCGGCAGAGAGGTAGCAAGCCTTAGGTTATCAATAAATAACATTTTCAAACGACACTGCAATCAGCTGTGACGGGTTTCGAATGATTTCCCTAGGGAGCACGATAGAATTTGATTTCATTTTTATTCTTTGTTTATTTGACGTTTTAAACACCTGGCCGATCTAATCTCGTTAAAATATGTGTTTATCAAATATTTATACGACAATTGTGAGATAATTAAATTCTAGCTTAATGAAGGCGAATCGTTCACTCACCTCTCGACAGGAGATTTCAAAATTTTAGTATAAAAATGATAGTGGTTTTTAGTTTTCAGGTTTTTGTAGGCAGTAATTTAAAAAAAATTTAATTCAACCTTGAATCTGAGACCTAGAAAGTAGTTTTTTACATATTTTATATATATATATATGTTGGGACATTAATACACAGCACCATCTAGTTCCATGGAAAGCTACAAGGCTTGACTTATGGATACCAGATAGGTGATACACTACATATATATACCTTAAAATACATACTATAAACTAGCAGAATCCGCGGCTTCGCTCGCGCTAAAACCACAAAAATATCTCTAAAAGGGTAGTTTCATACAAACTTTCATCCCCTATTTTACCCTCTTATAGGATGAATTTCGAAAAATGCTAAAACACGTATTTATTTATTTTTATTAAAAAGTATTAATACCAAGTTTCAAGTAATTCTGATCGTAAATATTTTTTTGGATTGTATTATAACGTGTTATACCGTGAATTAGATAATCTCCCGCGATAAAAAGTAGCCTATGTCACTTTCCCGCCCTCCAACTATCTCCAGACAAAAAATTATATCAAAAGAAGGACAGACAAACAAACACACTTTCACATTTATAATATTAGTATGGATATAAGCACCCATTACTGGAGTACAAACATTCGTGCTCATCACACAAATGAATGCCCCCAGCGGGACTTGAACCAGCGACCACTGGCACAGCAACTACAAACTCAGCCAAACGTATTGTCGAATAGTTACTAGCGATGTGTGTATTCTAAATGATTATACAACTTTATTTTAAGTTTCGCTTTTATTTCTTTTACTTCTTTACTATTATTATGCTCGTGAAAGTGTTTTTAGTTTGATTTTGTTGTTTATTTCAATATTTTAAAGAAATTATTCTTACGAGGTATAAAAACAGATTTGATTAAGACACATGAGGGTCAGGATCTAAGTAAACCCACGGCAAGTTTTTATAGCAAACAATATATTAATAAACAATATATTTTCGAGTAAGTATGGTGCAATAATATCGTTATCAATTCTGATAAATTATTTATCAACTAAACAAAAATGAATCTTTTATCATACCTATAAGGTATATAAATATATATATTTTTTGGTAAAGATAAAGCCAAATGATAACTCCGTATCACAATCAGATAAACCGACATGATAAAAGGAAAATACATGGGGAATTGATATTTACAAGTTTTTTTGTTAAATTTTGGTCGTGTTTTCTGCAATATAATAAAAATGAATTGTAGATATTGTTGTAACGATATACTGGTGTGGATATTAAATAATAAAATTATAGTATTTCTTAGTCTTCTCTCGTTCTGTTTGATGATATCAACGTGGGTGCTTTCGGATCAAAAGCGTAGTTTAAACCAAGAGCTTAATGAACTGAAAGAAAGTATGACTTCAACGACTACCTCAACAACTAGTGCTCCTGTTTCAGAAGAAACTACTTCAAGTTCTGTGAGCGAAGAACCAGTTACATCATCAAGCTCACCTTCAAGTTTGGATCCAGATCAAAATCTACCAGAAGATCTGGAAACCATCAGTAAAAATATACAAGAAAGTAAATTAATCAGTTCAATTTTAGCAGGCGCATAAACATCAGTGTATCTAAATAAGTGATGTTAGTGTTAATTTATAAATGTGTACTAAAGTTACAAGAGAGTTATTAATATTTTAAATATTACAGACTTTCTTCATATGCATATGTTAATATTGTTTTTCTTTTACATTATGTAATATTTAGTTGTATTTATAATAAATAATTTAATTTTCTAAACATTTTTTTTCTTTTACATTTGGTGAAATTATTATGAAAGAAATGATAATTTTGTATATATTTGGGCCTATACAATAGTAAGTATATTTGATTAGATAGAGACAGCTTCACTCTAATAATGACTCTATCCCGTAGATACATGCTGGAATACACTTTTACAAACACTTCGCATTTAAATTCAGATTTGAAGTCCACGAGGAAGCCACTACTAACAAAATAATTTTACTCAGAAGAGCGGGTGACAAACTCAACAATTGCTATTTTAATATTTTTTTTGCAATATTAAAATATGCTTACAATATTAAAATACGACAAATTAATAAACTTTAAAGTTAAAGTGACTAAGTAATGCTTTGTAGCATATTTTTATTATTTTTTTAGTTATGGTTTATTTATTCAAGTTTTCAGAGAATCTAGAATCTATGATCGGAGCGAAATCAAGTACGAAACTAGGTCTTCTAAAATCATTCAAGTACATAACATGCATGAAGTCTTTATTGTATATTTAACTTTCCACCCTATTTATCGGAAGTGCCTTCGACGACACTACCCTAGCGGGAAGCCATCGCATTAGAATATAAATTGAACTCTTTATATAAACATTTATAATTTGCATTTAAGGCGTCTCCACCGATTTCATATCTTAATCTACTGTAATCAGAACGTCGATACACCAATACAAGAGGAAAGTCAGAAAATATGAATATTTTATAAATAATAGTTTACGAAAAAAAATTCGCTCTTATCACGATGTTTATCAAGTAGCTCATTTCAATCTACGAAATATAAATTATATGTACATGAAAAAGAAAAATCCTGCTAAATTCATTAATCTGTAGCTTCCAGAGAGAACTAAAAACCAATAAACACTCCATTTATTACTTATACGAAAACCTTCTTATTAATTAATAACCGACTTCCAAAAACGAGGAGGTTCTCAATTCGTCGGAATCTTTTTTTTTATGTATGTTCACTGATTACTCGAAGACGCCTGAACCAATTTGGAAAATTTTTGTTTTGTTTGAAAGGGTATACTTCTTAGGTGGTCCCATATAAATTTTATTAAAATCGGTCGAGCAACAATAAATATATTTTTTAAACAAATTGTTTAATAGAATAAATGTTATTAAAAAGTTTCTTGCTACAAATTACCTGCTTATTACGTCTACACTAAAAATATAAAAATAAAAACTATAAAAAAAACCGACTTCCAGGCACTAAAATGTAAAAAATAACTAAACGGGGGTTTTCATTTAGAATAGATACCCAATCAGATTAAGGAAATACGTAAAGTAAGTGAAGTAAACAGTGGTACTTAAGTAAGTGCTAAGTAAACAAGGAAATCGAATAAGTAAACTAAGTGTAATCATTGTTTGACAAACATTATAAGGAATTGCGAACAACGTACAATTAATAATATTGAATGGAATCGTAGTTAAAGCGTTTAAATTAAGCCGTCACTAGCTGTATTTTCTCTCCCCATACATATTAAGTACATAATTTGAAATAACAAGTATATATTGTGAGAAATTTTACTTTCATATCTTTGATATTTATTATCTCAACGCCTGTCAATAAAATAACGCAATTTTTCGTTAAGCACAAACTTAACCAGCGTTCTACTAATACGTTATAAATATTCATAGTCATAAGTAGCGTTATCGAACGTTTAACTAAACCAGTAAAGCTTGACCTCCCTATTCATACCAGCCATCCACCATTACATCAATGTCGTTTTGTAAACAAGGGGTGGAAAGTTTCAAGTGAAACTGGTCGCGTATACGATACGAGAAGGGGATTCCGATACATTATATACGATATATCAATGCTATATTTATATTTCAATACTGTATTTATATTTCCTATGGGAATTACACGACACTAAATCTGGGGCGTATGTGACATTGTCTTTAGGTCGAGACTCGTTTGTTTCGCGTGCTTTCACGATTCCTTCATACAAATATTCTCGTGCATAATTGCTTCAGGGACTTTATAAGACGTTTTGTGTATACATTGTTAGGAGGCGCTACTTGTAATGTACAGTAGCACCATTAGTTATTCAGATAGCTTTCTTGTAAAAGCATGTTATACTGTCGTTGTTAGTTTTTTTCAAATTAATTTTTAAATGAGATATATTTATAATTTTCTCACAGATTTTTATTTAAACTCTAATTATAAATAACGAAACTAGTCCTTGATTCCGGATGGAAAGTGGAGTGAAAATAAAAGAAAGCCTATGCCCGTTCTCCTAATGCAATTCCTTGCCAAATTTTATCAAAATCTGTTCAGCGGTATGGACGTGAAATGCTAAGAGATAAGTAGAAAGTTACTATCACATTACATGAATATATCATGTTTATATATCGTTTTTGTTCTCCCCCTGTCCACCAAAATAAAGTAATAAATAAAGCCTTTCTGAACATAATACTTTCTTAAATTTAGATTTTTAAGCTTGTCTGTAACAAGTATAGCCTTTAAGACGTCTAAAACTTTAGTCTCTCCCATGACTATGATTGCTGTAAAGCATTCGAAACGTAGGACACCAAAAATTAAAATAAATCCGCGAAATAATCCGAAAAGATAAAATTAAAATATCTTCCTGAGCAGTTTTAGCCATCGCGGCCTATCTTATGGAGATTTTATATTTACGAGATATATACAGGGTTACTATTTTTTATTTTCTCTTCATTATCACATTCCGGAGGGATGGCAATGCGACACGACTGATGAAAGATCATACGTAGGACGATAGTTTTACGACTCCCAACTCTGCTGCAAACAAATTCTTGACAGAATAAGTACAATTCTTACCCCAGCCTGAGACTGAAATTAGAACCTGCAACTGGACATGTTGGTATTGGTGCAGGATCTGGTGGTACTAGACTAATAATCTAATAAGATGTGTTAACAATTATTTTATAAAATTAAATTGAAATTATATATAACTCTTTGTCCTGACTGACTGATGAATCAACGCACAGCCTAAACCGCTGGTTTTACAAGCGTGAAATTTGGAGGATATATTTCTTAAATATTATAGGCATCCGATAAGAAAGAATATTTCGAAATTCCTCCCCTAAAGGGGTGAAATAAAGGTCGAAAAATTGTATAAAACTGCCATTTCTAATGTGAAATGTATAAAAAGTGGTATTTTGCTTTAAAATAAAAAAATAAAACATACGTATGTACGTGTATGAAATACTTCAAACTTGATATTAATGCTCTTCAATACAAATAAATAAACACGTATTGTAAAATTTTTCAAAATTCAGCTAAAACAATGCCAAGTTTTAATAATATCAAAGTTTGATTTTTTTGTAGTTTAAACGCGGACGAAGCCGCAGGAACTGCTAGTAACTTATAAAATATTTTAATATCTTAGAAATTATACTACCCTTTTGCTTAGTGGCGTTTCTATAATATACTCGTACTTAGATAAAACGTAGCTTGTGTAATTATCACTATGCAAGAAAATCATGTTGATCTACTGCTCTGTGGTATTTGGTGACAGTTAAGTTTTTATATGGGGAAGTAAATTCTATTCATATGTGCTTTCTTCAAATTTTTATTACAAATTTTTTAAACAAATAAATTAATAACAATCGAATCCGCGCCATAGCAACGATATAGACACCTCCTGTAACCGCTACTTTAAGCCTTCGCCAATTATGTTTACGAAATGTAAACCCACCCTTAATCCAAACGCTTGTCATCGCCACCCCACTTAAGGGTTCAAAGATAAAATATTCTAATAACTCCTACCGAAGCGTAGGTATGGAAGGGCGTATAAATGAGACGGTATTTCTCAATTTTTCATCGTCAATATTCGAAGTACAATTGAAGCAAAATAATACACATTTTCATAATATTTGTGGATGAAATAGAAATGTCCTTTAAAACTTTTTGCTTTTTAACTTCTTTACCAAAAAGATAGTAATATTAATATATCTAGTGATTTAGTATAGTTTTTTTTAAATACACCAATATTTTCTATTTTGCAAATAAAATTCAGATTCAAGCGTGCGTGACAAGTTTATTTGAATACCCGTTTTTATTTCAAGTATAAAATAATTCACAAAATACAATTTTACTAACATCTATTATATTACAAGTGTATTCATTAAAACTTACAAATATTTTACGAAATTTACATTCTATTCAACGTGGAGCGGAAGCAAAAATATTATTTTATTACATAACTAGCATTTCCCGCGGCTCCGCCAGCGTTCAAATGACCGAAAACCAAATTCTTACTTAGGTTTTACATATTAGTATACTCTTACAATGCAGTTTTGGTATTTTTTCTCGATAATGCTATATTTTCCCGCAGTAAAAAGTATCCTATATGTTGACCCGGATAACTAGCTATAACCATACTAAATTTCATCAAAATCCCTCCAGTGATTTTTCTGTGATGCGGTAACAGACAGACAGACAATAATTCTAAACACTATAAATTCAGCCTGTGTATCGATATGAAGTTTAATTCAATAAGATTTTCCAAAAAATATTTAATGTACAGATTCTGCTTAGTTACAAATTTATTATATGTACCTATAGATAATTCCTTAGATTATGTTTCATGAGAAAAGTGACATGACCAATAAGTAGATGAATAATTGCTAATATGCTTACACTACTTCAGAAGTGAACGGGCCTAATACGAAGCTTATGCTAAAGTCTCCCGAAAGCGAATACATGTAACGAAAAGCTCCAATGAAACTTGTTTTGACATAATAGCTGGAACTTCGGCAGTTTGCGCACCTTTGCTGTATGGTGCGATTTATAAGTGACTGTGACTATATATATATATATA